GTGGCGTCTTCATCTGGAGAACAGAATGTTCTGATGTTCAGCTAGTAAACCCAGCGGTACCCACAGCGCCGTGTTGATCCGTCTGCAGCGAAACTTTGAAGCAGAATTCATTGAAAATGGATCAGAACAAACTGGAAAAAATCAAAACCTAAATAAGTCATTTTTTTTCTGAAAATAAGTGCATTTGTTCTTGGATGGAGGAGGAAAAAAGAGAACTTTTGCCAAAGAAAGAAGACAATTTCCATTAAAAATAGTGTTGCACCAATACCATTTTTTGGCCCTGATACCTGGCTGTGCATTATTGGCCGATATCGATACCATCTATTTGAAATTGATGTGTGTGTATCTGAAGAACTGCATTCTACCTGGATGTAAAATAATTGCCATCATGGCTTCATGTCATGCTGCTGCCTTCCTTTGTGAAGCAGGAAAAAGACTAAATCAAAGTGAATCAGTAGAACTTTTTATTGCCTACCTGGAATGGGTGACAATAGTTGAAGAAACTTTTTCTCAAAATGGTATCGGTGCCCTATTGTTTGGTACTCGCCGATACCAATATCACCATTTTAGTGCTGGATCGGGGCCCCGCCTGATACTGGCCAAACACTAATAAAATAAGAAAACACAATTCCATCGTCTTATTCCAAGTGTACGCTATATAATTAACTTATTTTAGGAGTGAAATACTCATTCCGTTGGCAAACTGTCTCATTTACCTACTCAAATGAACCCTTTATAGGGCGCTCTGTGAAATACTTGGAAAATACAAATTTCCAGCCAATAGTGTTATATGATGGCAGGACAAGACCTTATTAGCTTTGCAACATTCAAAAATATGGATAGTCTGACGGCAAAAATTAATGTCAATGTAATAAAAAGAAATGGCAACTTGCAGGAATATATTAAGAAAAATAACAAAAGTGCTTCTAGAAGACATTCATGAAAAACACTCTGAGAGTGAAAGAAACACATTTTATTATACAACATAACCTTAGAGGCATTAATGCTGATACTGGCACTGACATATTTTAGTTTATAAACCTAAATTTAATTGTTAATTAGGCTTATTAACATTTTAACTTTACTTTTTAACTTCTGAGTTAGATTTTTACCTTTTTTTCTTCACTTGTTAACCTGTTTTTCAGCTTAATTTCCTGTAGTTAATCTATCTTTTAATGGCTCATCTTATTGGTCAAATGCTAAAATAAGATGTTCAGCCATGCAGCAGGATCTTGGCTGAATGGCTGGATATAGATCTTGTGCTTATAGACCTCACTGAGGGACGGGGGAGGGGCTCCATTTGTAAGGGATATGAAAGGGATCAAAAACGCTAACTTGCCCTATAAAGGATTAATGGGAAATACACTTAATTTAAAAGAGTTTTTATTTATTTCTAGATGTTTTTTCCGGGGTAACGGTGCGGTCCACTGTCGGTTTAACAGTTTGTGTTTAGAACAGGAGTTTAAAATGCTTCAGTGGTGCTGAATAATTAAAATGTCAGCAAGGCGTCAGTGAGGAGTGACCAGAAGGAGGAATGTTTCTTTTTGTTTAGTTAAAATCCTTTATAATCTGAAAGGTTGAACAGCCCCTGACCTCTGACCTTTCCCATAATGCATCCTGTTGAAGTCTGTCCAACATTTTAATTCTCTCACTGAGGTGTTGAATGTTTCCAGGACGGTAGAACCTCTGATCTTCTCCATGTTGTTCCACGTTTAGCTGCAGACTCGGTGTATCTAGAAGTTGCTGTAATCTGTGTGTTTTCTAGCAGTCAAAGGTCTATTTTAGACAGAGAGCGGATCTGTTTGGTTCCGGTCCAGGAGACGCGTGTAGCTGACAATCAGCTGAGTCCATGAAGGTAGAGCAACATGTGGTGTCGTGTGTTTTTTTCTCGGCCCGGTTCGGTGACGGTCCTGACTCCGGACCGTCTGTGAAGGTCCGGCTGGAGGAGGCCGTCTCTGGTTCTGTGCCTTTTCTCCACAACTCTGTAAACGCTGTGAAGATCTGTGGAAACCTGTCAGTGATGTCCTCTGGAGAATAAAGAACAACATGAGAGCAAAGTCGCCTCTGAGTTCTGCTTTATTTGGGGTTCCTCTGCAGGTCCAGATGTTCCACAGGAGGCAAAAAGGTTCAGAACCCGTTTCATCTGGAATGAGATGAGGATCTGAGGAGCAGGCGGCTCCAGAGAATCTTCAGATTGAGGACGGAGGTCAGGAAACGATCACTGATCTGATTAAGAACAAAGATGGAGGACGTGGAAGCATTTGTCCATCTGCAGAGCAGAACATCTGGAGGAAAGTCAGGTAGCAGCTTTAACTGGACAGCAGGGATCTCTGGTCCTTCATCCAGAACAACCGTCTATCAGCAGCTGGCAGAACCTCATGGAGCAGGTCTGGAGTACCTCCACCCAGCTCTAACTCTAGAGTTATAGTTCTATCCTTTGCTGAGCAGAGGAGAAGGTCTGAGGATCACCTTAGAGATGGAGCAGCTTCTTTGTTCTCTGATGCTTCCTGGGATGGACCTTCAGCAGGATCGGTTCTCCAGAAGTTTGGTGGAAGAGGAGCAGCATGGTTCAGAGATGTATGATAATTGATGCATCATCTCCTCTTCTGTGCTGCAGCCAGGGGGCGGGGGATTTACCATTAGGCAATACCAAAGGCAGTTGCCTAGGGCCCCAAGTTCCTGGGGGCCCCATAAAACTCCTTTTCCATGTATGGTTAATACAACTATTCCTTATTTCTGCACATTAATTATGTTTTTGATCAAAATCCTTTGGCTAAAATGCCATCAGAACGCTGATAATATTAAGTGTGTCTCAGCCCCCCCTGCCTGTTTTTGCCTAGGGCCCCAAATGTTCTAAATCTGCCCCTGGCTGCAGCAGAGATGGAGGAAAGTCCAGGAGGATCTGGAGGAACATCTGCTGCATTCCAAGAAGATCCTAAAGAGGAGGATCCAACTGCTGGATCGATCGATCTGTTCCTGACGGAGACATCAGAGGATTTAGGAACCAGATAACGTGTTGGTCCCGTTCTGAAGCTTCTAGGAAGAAAATTTCTTCCAGCTGCAGCTGCTGCTGGCCCAGTACTCCCAGTAGAGTCTGCTGGAGGCTCCACCTCCTTCAGCCTAACAAGAAGTCAGTCCAGCTCTAAATCTTTTATCGTTCCTTTTTGTTGATTTTAATTCAGATGTGTGAATCTAGACCAGGGGTGCTGAAGTTCACTCCTCAAAGGCTACTATCCTGCAACTTCTTGATGTTCTCCTTTTTTAAGGTTGAACTGTAAAACAGACAGTTTCTAATTTCCATTACTCAGTCTTCCCTGTTTTCAAAACAAAGCAGGAAGTTAAAACTTAATGCACAGCTGTTTAAATTAGTAATAAAGGGGATTGATATAAGGTTCAAATATCCCAGTAAATAAAGGTTAATGAAACAGATTAAACAAATTAACAGATTTTGTTTGTTTAACAATAATTGGGCCTTTCTTCAAATAAGCAAGAAACTGTCATTATTTAAATGCTAGTTTCAAGTTGCAAGTTTAATTTGTATAATTCTTTAAGGTTTAGATTGAACTTTTCAAGGAAAAATAAATGTGTGTAGAGCAAAAAATTTGTATGAAAATAAATTAGGCTCATTAAATTTGCTTTTAAATTACAATTTATTGAGAAGTAAATGTATCTTAAGCTGATGTGGAATAAATATGCTAATTTATTTACATAATTATTTGTTAATAATTATACGGTGTTCCAATGACTCAATTGGAAATAATAAGATTTATTATTATAATATTAACAATAAAATTAATAATGTTACTGATGAAAGTGATAGAGGATATAAATAACAGGATTTAATTCCTACATTAAGATGAATGGTGGAGGCCTTAAAATGATCTATTCTCAATGAATCCATAGCTCAGATATATATGGAGGTTAAATTGACTGAAAGTATATGTTGTTGTTTCTTCAACAGAACATATGTAATTTGTTCTGATGAAGAAAACTTGGGGAGATGAATATAGAACAAAAGAAAAACAGCAAAGTTAAACTCATAAGAATCCATAAAGATGCTGTTTATTTTCCATCTGAAACAGTCCATGTGGAATATGGGTTGATAATTAAGAGCAGAATAAATGAAACCTAAATCCATCCATTTTCTTACATGCTTAATCCCAAGCGGGGACGCGAGGGGTGCTGGTGCTCTTCTTTCACGCTCAGTGTTTAATGTTTAGAAAGATGGAAATATTTAATTGGCGTGTTTTTGCTGCCGATTTATTAAACAAAATCTGTCATTTAAAACCTTTCAGAGAGCAGATGAAAATGTTTTAACTGTAACAGTTTTGTTACAGTTTTATCGAAAACAGGGTCAGTTTTATAAAAAAATTTAAATTTGAACCGCACTTCCAGTTCCGCTACTGAGCGGATGGTAGCCTAATACGATTAGCTCCCGAAAGATT